CTTTTTTTTGTCATTGGTCAGAGCACCCGCCACATACTAATATGATGCTTAAACGCAGGCACCCGCTTATCGATAATGCTTTCAAACTGTCAATTTCGTTTTTGCTTTTTGTATTTTGGTGGAAAATTGACTGCCGCTGGATTGATATTATGATCATCAAACTGTACGCTGTCATCAAAATCTCCCATGAACCTCGGAATGTGACGCATCAGCATATTGTGAAGAGTTTTGTGAAAAAAATACATATCAGACTAAATTGTATGGTCTATGACGTTTGCCTGTTCTAAACGGCTAATGCCGAATGGAAATGATTTTGTGTTCTTACTTTCTACATTCATTTTACCTGTATAGGACAATGGGTCCGCCCACCCAATTTTGTTAAGGGTATCAAAAAATTGTATAAAAAAATTACGAATTCAACGGTATTCTTAGTTTTTTTTTCTTTAAAAATGACTGAAATATTGATGAGTAAAGTGGTGTTTTACGGTAAGGGCGACTGCTTTGCTCCGCATTGCAATGTGACGTCACAAACCGACACGTCGAAGCCATATTTTTCGTGTTATGTTATTTATTTATCAGTAACCTTTATTTTCTGTTTTTTTCTTTATTATGTCTGTTATATCACGCTCCTCGGGAATAAAAGTCCGATATGAGAAGATAAACTCCTGTAGATCAAGATATACCTTAATGCAAAATTTCATCAAAATCAAATTAGTATTACACGCATTGAATGTTTGTGACCATTGCATTTTCAAAACAGTATAGGTACCAACTACCAACGTAATGCCGCAATCAGTTTATTCAAAAGTAAGTCAAAGTAAAACTAGGACCATATGTTTGCAACCACTGACGAACTACGTAACCAACAAAATTCTTTCACGTGTCACTAGGTACTAAATAACAGTGCGAGTTGATTAATACTTACTGCATTAGTAAGTAAGTAAGTAAGTTTTTTCATTTTATGTCGTTGTAAATCATGTGCAACTTCATGGTTCAGTCAGTTAATACCTACCTATATTTTACTGCCTAATTACTAATCAAGTGCAAAGCTGTACACTTTTCGTAATCTTTTATCAGTAACTTACCTTTAGAGCTTTATTCCATGCATTTCTGATGATAAAAAATCATAATTTTCTGAAAAATACTGCATAACTATAAAAATATCCACTTTTGGCAGATTAGCTGACCGTCTTTTTTCAAAGCCCGCTTCCATTTTCTTTTTTATACAGCACTACACACCGTGACTTTTATAATATAATCATATAAAAGCTAAATGTTAAATACTTTAGTTTATAAATAAAATCAAATAGTTCATTTGTGATTCACAGTTTACAAAAAGGTCTTATTTAAACACAAATAAAGTTCAGTATGTGATAAGCCTCATGGGCATACAATTGTCAAATATTATTAATAAATCATTGATTACATTATTCATAATAATAGATTAGATTATTAGATTAAATTATTCATCTTAAATAATATTGATTACATTGGATTAGATTATTCGTATTAGATTAGATTAGATTATTCATAAATTATTAGTTTAAAATTATTATATACCTAGTCGTTGGGTTTATTATAAGTATTATATTATCTGATACAGTCAACCGGACATTAACTTTGACATTCGATATAATATGTAGGTAAACGACCGTATACTTCCGAGCACGCGGTTATAACGCGGTTCTAGTACTGAACTTAGCAAGCATTAGCAAGTACCCACTGCGCGTTCGCTCTGACAGATTGTGACGTCATGTCACAGAGAACGTACGGGTAAAAATTTAAAAAAATTGCGAAATTTCAAAACGTTATAACTTTCGTGTTTCTGCACCAATTTGGATGAAACAAAAACTATTGTTATTTTCATAAACATAGCTTTAAATCTATATATTATTTATAGGTTTTATTGTCAAATTTGAACATGTTGGTGTGACCAATTACTATACTCTTAGATCCTTTTGATTTTGACGTCCAGGCTTTGAAGGGCTAGTATCCAGAGCTGTAAAGCCAGTTATAAAAACATGATATTGACGTACTGAGTTTTGGCGGGAAATACACCGGCGGCGGTTTGCTGCTCCTGTATTATTGTTTAACACGTTAACTGTCCCCATACAGAATTTTTCGACAACCTCACATGTCCAAATCAGTTTTTGTATTATTCTGTGTCAAATTGATTCAAAATTACTAATTTTGGATAATTAGACTACATAAATAACTAATTATTCGGTTTTCCTTACCTTTTGATCGTGTACCGTGTTCGGTACACGGACTTATGGAGTTGAAATAGCGAGTAAAATTAACGTATACCGTGGATTTGTGAACAGCGAGTTTAAAAAACAGTTTTTCTATTCATATTCTTGTTTATGGTAATTATTTGACATTGATACAAGATAAAATAGTGACATCTCAACTTCAAAACTTTCAAATTTTGGCCGTTAGTGCGCCAATCGTTATGGTGTGAATAATAATTGGAAATTGATGAAATATATGATAAATATGCAATTCTTTGACGACGAACAAATCAGGAGAGATTTTTATGACAGATAATTTATAATGACTTACATCCTGAAAAAAAAAAGAAATGTACAACGTTTTGGCAGCAGATGAAGCAATCGTGAAGAGATTGTTGAAAATTGAACCAAAAAAAAAGCCGAGAACTTCGCGTTTATCCGAAATAGTGAGACAAATGCCATTTGCAAGCTTGTCTTCATCATCCTCAAGTACACTGTTGGGATCCAATAGGAGCTCACATTTTATAGAACCCATAGGCGAAGTAAGGGGTATATCAGTCTATACGAAGACGTTGCGTTGGGTGTTATAAAAAACTTATTGACCTTGCAAGTCTTCCAAAAACTGCAAAAGCAAAAGCTAAAAGAGAGACAACGCACTGTAATAAATGTAGAAACTTATTGTCTCCAGTGTTTTTCTGAAACTCTATTACATAAATAAAGCTATTTTCTTATTGAACATTTTTATTTTTTTTCAACCACCCACATAAAAAAAAAATGAAATGTTTTACGATTTTTCTTTTTATTCGTGCTCTATTGACAAGTCCTGGCAAATAGAGCAAACTAACTGAGAAGTCCATGAAGTTAGAGCTTATAGAAAGAGATAAGGGCGCGTGTACCGTTTACGGTACACGGACGTGACGAACCCATGCGACATGTACTGTATTCGGTGCACTGGACAGCTAACGTGTTAAATAATGGTTTGAAGTGAACTTTGATATGTAAAAGTTGTAGTGTTATACTACTTACGTATCATTTTACATTATTTTAAATTCATTTTTCCATTCTGTTTCGATTTTCTGCATTCACCTCAAAACTGGATATTGTACATCACCTTTATTTCCATAGGATCCTGTAACGATTTTAAACCATAAGAACACAATAACAAATCATTTCTACTTCGTAGTTTCACATTATCAGCACTTTTAAATTGGTGTCAATGGAGTCTACCTTTTTTCGATCTTTTAGCTAATTTTCCGTAACTCTACAATCTTGGGCTTTGTGTGGGCAGTTGCGTTATCTTTTTTCCTATATCAATAATATCTCATTTTCCACTTAAATCTTACCGTTTTCTTATTATAAACCAAAAACAAAAATTTGACATGTTTTGTCTTTCTTATTTATATCGTTTCTATGGTAATTATATTCAAATTTGCTACCGATCTGTTATTCCTATTTCGATAATTCCACATAAATCCTCTTTTCTCTTGACCATTTACAAAAAATTTGCGTATAATTTAAATAATTTTTCCGTTCTCTCTAGAAAGGTATAAAAGCCGAACAATCGGTGAAGAAAGGCAGTCTCGCTTCAGTTCGCGAATTGGAAGTATCTCCTAAAGGCCTTATCCCGGGGCCGCACTGCCCCGGGATCCTGCAAGCCTCCATTTACACGTGAAGTCTTCGGCGAAGCCTTCTTCAAACTCGGGCCGCGCCACTCCGGAATCCTACAAGCCTCCATCTACCTCGGAAGTCGCTTCGAGTCTACTACAAGCGCGGGGCCACACTACTCCGGGCACTACTACTACTTACTCCAGGCGCCGAGTGCACCTACCGCCGGCGCTACCTTTGGGCGCTGCAACTGCTGGCTCTAAGCGTTGCGCGCCCCTTCTCCAGGCGCTACGTGCGCCGGCTCCGGACGCTGCGTGTACTGGCTCCAGGCGCTGCGCGCCGTCGCTGCTAAGAAACCTACTTCTACAAGCGCAAACGGCGTGTGCTGGCTTCAGGCGCTGCGTGCCGTCGCTGCTAAGAAACCTACTTCTACAAACGCAACGTGTGTCGCTTCGACTTTTAGGCCCCACTTCAACGCTATATTCCCCTATTCTCTCACCTTTATTTTTTTTATAATCTAATTGTATTCTCACTTCATTCATCATCATCCTCACATCATTTTTTTTATAAAATTGTAAATACCTTTTATAAATTTAAATATATTGTTTTCTGGCTCTACCTTTCTTGTTTTGTTGTACTTAGGTTAGGTTCTATTTTTTTTATTTTTTTTTAGTTGTCGCTACACGACAAAGTGTTGCGATTTTGTGTATTAAGTGTCTACGCATGTGAACTATTAGTGGAAACAGTGAAACAAGTGCTCTGATGGTGATGGATTCTCAAGATAAGCTGTTTGTTTGCATAGGCACCTTTAGATACCATCGCCAACTATCAGCTGTCTGCTGAATCAAGTTGCCGCCAAAATCTCCCAAGAACTGCACAATGTGACGCATCAACATATTGTGAAGCAGTATACTATGAAGGAGTGGGGAAATTACAATAAACCGAATAAAAATACTTAAGACTTGGCCTAAAGGTCTAGATACCAGGCCATAAACTCCAAAAAAAAAAAAGATATTGACGTACTAATTGACATATCTTTTTCGTTTATTGAAAAAAAATTACTTCTATATTATAGCCCCGCCTAAGGGTATTAGTGTTTTGTGATTATAGCTAACTTATTTTAGAGTTTCTGTTTTCATATAAGTCGTCATAATTGCTTCCAAAATGCAAAACATTAATGCTCCGCGGGAGCCTCCTCCCGTTCTGAGCACCAGTTCTACAATACTCAGTATGAGGGAAAAGGAGAAATACATAGAAGATTTTGACTTTCCCTTTTGTGACGAGTCTTCAAAGTACGAAAAAGTCGCGAAAATCGGACAGGGAACTTTTGGAGAGGTTTTTAAAGCACGTGCGAGGAATAGCAGCAAAAAGTTCGTTGCCATGAAAAAAGTTTTGATGGATAACGAAAAAGAAGGGTTCCCCATCACGGCGCTGCGGGAAATTAAGATTCTGCAACTTCTCAAACATGATAACGTCGTCAACTTAATAGAAATTTGTCGGACAAAAGCAACTTTGCATAATAAATACAGATCGACATTTTATCTAGTCTTTGACTTTTGCGAACACGATTTAGCAGGTTTACTGTCAAATGTAAACGTTAAATTTAGTTTAGGAGAGATTAAAAAAGTTATGCAGCAATTGTTAAATGGCTTATATTATATACATAGTAACAAAATCCTACACAGAGATATGAAAGCGGCCAATGTCTTAATTACAAAGAATGGTGTGTTGAAGCTGGCAGATTTTGGTCTTGCGAGAGCATTCAGTGTTGCGAAGACTGGTCAAGTGAATAAATATACTAATAGAGTTGTTACATTGTGGTATCGGCCTCCTGAATTGTTGCTTGGTAAGTTGTTTTTTTAACTGCTTTAACAAATGGTTACATACTAAATTGTGTTTACTAATTATAAAAAAATTATTGTGTAAGTCTGTTCTTCGAGCTATATGGCCAGCCCATTGCCACCAATAACTGATGGGGTAGAAAGGTTCTTCAGTAGTAACTTCGTAGGCAAAGTATAGGGCGGCCCCGCTAGATGGAGTGACTACCTGGTAAGGCATGCAGGAAGTTGATGGATACAGGTGGCTCAGGAACATGCTTCATGACATTCCTTGGATCTATTAGATCTATATTCAGTAGTGAACTTGTGAAGGGCTGTAATAATGATGATGAAGTAAGTATGCAACCAACACTGTTAACTACAACTTCTGAATATAACATATTATATTAAGGAGTGTGATTTATTTAATAATTTGAATAATACATACTGAGATAAATTAAAAAAATCAACAATCGAAATCAAAAATAAAATAGTATATAACAGGGTTTGATAATATTATAAATAAATAAATTCAAATCAAATCAAATCATTTATTTTGCTAAAAACATGGGTACAGAAGGATGGATACAGAGTCAATATTTGTTTCCACATATTTTGCCATTTGTGGCATGCGAAAAAAAATTTTTTTTAAAAATTTAAATGTGTTTAGAACAAATGAACTAACATTAGAAATATACACATAATATTCAAGTATGTAACTACCACTTTGTAATGATTACATTTCTTTTTAGAAGAACATAACTAAATTCGAAAAATAACATTTAATTCAATTGAGAAGTATCACGCAAAATCCTGTAATAAATAAAAAAATAAAATAAAAAGTGATATATATATATAGGTGAGAAGAGATTTAAGTAGTCCAGTCTTGCTGATTCAGAGAGCTATACTTGTAGTTTCTTTGTATTATGAAATTCATAAGGATATCCTCATTAAATTGAAGTGGCAATGAGGGCATCCACAACTTTTTATGCCACCAGGACGGCGCCGCTAGAAAGTGAGGTATAATATTTGACAGATTTTATAGTGGGAAAGTTAAGTTGTTTGGAAAATATACAAACCACAGATATTCATAAAAGTAGAAACATTAAAAAAAAAGAAGTAAAAAATTAAAGAGCAAACTACTGACACAGTGTTTTGTGTATTAATATAATACTCTAGAAACTGATAAACTTTTATTAAACACCCTCTTCTCAATTAAATTACATTTTGTAACAAAAAACTTTACCTCAGTGTCAACTAGCGAATTAAAATTTATTCTGCATGTTCATGTCACTTCTGAGAACTAAATTGTCCATTGGTTGTAATTGGCAAAAGTCCATGGACATTAGTCAAAAGCCAACCCTAGCCATCTGGTTGGTAGGGGCGAAAAAGTTTTCCACTGCTCTCTTCCCTACTCTGCCTTTACTTAATAAGCTAATGTCCCACCTGTTAAGTAATCTAATGCCCTTGTTGTTAATTTCTGATGTAGTCTTATATTGTAACCTCGTTTAGCTATATAATGACTCTTATTAAGAAATGTATTGACATTTTTTTTCTCAATATAGGCTTTGGTAATGTAGTTAGGGCAAGAGTTACATTATGCCAATGATATAATATACTCTCTGTAATACGGGCTTGCTAAGTTACTTTTTGGTAAAAGCCCAAGTATGCCAGGTAATTGTGAAAAGATAATTAAAATTAATTGAAAGATGTTGTGACTATTTGAGCCTTCTTGGACCTAATCTAATAGCTTAGTATTCCCATAACCATGGATGCCTTAAGGCACATGATACCTTGGAAATTTAAAATCATTCAAGAATTAATCAAGATCAAGAATCATTCTCCATTAACCCGATGTGAGATACTGAAAAGTTGACCGAAAAATTTATGTGTTGCATTTGAATAACATTCATGCAAACCACATGTCAATCATTCTATTCTAGAATACAATGATGTGTGATGAATTTTTATGTGGTAGAATCATGTAGCTATATTATTATAGTTGTAGCATGAATGGATCAACTCGACCAGGGTAGGACTATACTCTCACTGAATACCAGCTTAAATTAGCAGCTAGATGCTCCTGTGTTTCGTATTGTGAGTGTAGAGAACTGGAGACCCTTTTGACACATTCCATCTTAGTGCTCACAGGTGACAACGCATCTGCATTTTGATTCTTAATCGTCAATAGATGTAGATATCTATGGGCCAGAGCAACCACTTACCATCAGATGAACTGTGTGCTCGTTTGTCTCCCTTATTCTATAAAAAAACTCATCAATGTAGTAGAAGTCAATTAAATACAAATTATAAAGTCTAATAAAGATTGTAAAAAAAGGTTAAAGGTAAAGTTTGCAACAAAGACTTAAGATTCATAGGAAGAAGGATGTTATTAGGAAGCATAATATATAGCATACATAAACATAACATAAACACTCACGCCTGTCACCCAGAGGGGTAGGCAGAGATTATGGACTTCCATTTGGCACGATCCTGACACACCTCTCTCGCTTCCTCCACATCCATATACCTACGCATACACGCTCGTCGGTTAAAGGTACTCTTGATTTGGCCCATTTTTAATATATCGCCAATTTGGTCGATAAACTTTCGCCTAGGGCGACCCTTCCCGACTATGCCGTTCACCTCTGCAACATAAATTTGCTTTGTCACTCTTTCCTCATTCATTCTTTCTACATAGCCAAACCACCGAAGCATTCCTTTCTTAATCCTGGTCACAACATCATCTTGCAAACCACACTCTTCTCTTATTAAACAATTTCTCACTCTGTCATTCAGCTTCATCCCTAACATATTCCTTAATGACCGCATTTCTACAGCATTTATTCTACTCTCATGCTTCTTCTGCCACACCCAACTTTCACTACCATACATTAAAGTAGGTACTAACACAGCATTGTGAATTGCCATACGTGCCTTTTTGGACACATTCTGACTTTTCACAATAGAGTGTAGAGCCCCATTCACTTTATTTCCTGCATTCACTCGTCGTTCTATATCCTTATCATATCTACCATCCCTGCTAAATACACATCCCAAATATACAAACTCATCTACTTGCTCTACCAACTCCCCTTCTATTCTTATTTCACATATTGTTTTACTTTCTTCTCTTTCAAAAACCATAACTTTCGTCTTACTTGCGTTCACTTTCATTCCCTTTTCTTTTAATGTCCTGTTCATCAATGTAACCATCATTTGCAACTCGGCTGCCGACGATGCAAGTATGACTTGATCATCGGCGTACAAAAGGCATTTGACGTTTAACTCGCCCATTCTTAACCCGCATTCTTCTACTTTCAAATTTTCCAAACAACTGTCCATAAATAGGTTGAACAACCATGGGGAAGCCACACAGCCCTGTCTGACACCTTTATGGATGCCAAGCCAGTCCGAGTAGGCCCTGTTGATCCTGACACAAGCACTAGAGTCCCTATAAAGAGACCTTAATGCCTGTATCAAGCCAGCGCTCAACCCAAATGAGTTCAGTTTTTGCCATAACACATCCCTGTCCACTCTGTCATAAGCCTTCTCCAAGTCTATGAACGCACACAAAACTTTTTGGTTTTTGGCCAAAAACTTCTCTGTGATCATGCGCATGGAAAAGACCTGAGTAGAAGACCTAGTAAATCTAGCCATGCTTTCTTCTTTGCTTCAACTTCCATCCGTACCTCATCATCCCACCATAACATGTTATTTTTCCTTTCATTCGTTCTCTTACTTACACCACATACTTCGGTAGCTGCATCCACTAAGCCTTTCTTGACATTATACCACACAGTCCCCAAGTCTAAATCATTCATACACAATTCAGCCATACCACTTATATTTTCTCTCAATTTACATTTGAACTTCTCTTTCACACCTTCATCTTGTAACCTCTCTGTTCTTATACGCTGTAACGCAGTGGTAGACACAGATGTCCGATGCCTCCAACGTCTGAAAAGACCATTAATTCGGCATAAGACCAAGTAATGATCCGTCCCTACGTTAGAGCCCCGGTAAACCCTTGTATCTACCACCGCGCTCCTCATTCTTTCATCAACAATTATGAAATCTATCATACTTCTATCATCACCTCTTTCCCATGTATACGTGTGAATCTTCTTATGACGAAAGAAAGTGTTCGTCACAACAAGATTCTTTTCCACGCATACGGCGAGAAGGCTTTCACCATTCTCATTTATACTTTCATCACCAAACGTTCCCAATATCCTTTCATAACCAAGCCTCCTCACCCCAACCCTTCCATTAAAATCGCCTAATATCACAATATTTTCATTAACCTTGCATTTCATTAGCACCATCCTTACCAACTCCCAAAACTGCTCTCGGATATAAGTGGGCTTAGACATGTCTGGGGCGTAGACCCCTAAAACAAACAACTTCTTTAAGCCCACTTTCATTCGTATCCATAGCAGTCTCAGGCTTACACATTCATACTCTTTCACACAATGACCCATTCTTTCTGAAAGGATGATACCGACTCCCTGGCATGCCCGCTCGGTCTCGTCTACACCAGACCAGTACGCGGTATACATGCCATGTGTAGTGGCATCCTTTTCCTTCCATTTCGTCTCATTTACACATAACACGTCTATTCCTCTATCATACATCATACCGCATACTTCATCCATCTTATCATTCATTCCTCCACATACATTCAATGTAGCCAAACGGGCTTTCGCAATCCACTTTTCGCCCCTCCGGGGGACAGAACGTGACGGGTGGCGAACCTCGTCGCCGGTTTTCCTCCCGGAGATTCTTCACTCGATTTAATATATAGCATTCTATAAAAAACTGATTTCAATTACAGGTGATCGTAATTATGGACCACCTGTGGACATGTGGGGTGCAGGATGTATCATGGCAGAAATGTGGACTAGGTCACCCATTATGCAGGTCAGTTATACAGCATTATTTACATTATACATTCTGAAATTGTGCAGTTTATTCTCTTATAATTTTTAGTGTTCTTCTATAGATGTTTTTGGTCATGACAGAAAGTCAGCATTGTGGTTTTGCTAAAACTCATGCTGAGTAATGACCTTTTTGACATGCCTTTGACATAGAAAGCCAAATTTATTATGCTTTCATATTTTTGTTATGAGTATATTGTTATGTATGTCAATGCGACATATATGGGCTGTAACTTTATTTTACATCAATAGTCTGTATCAAAATAGTGTATATGGGCTGTTACTTTTTTTTTATAGGATAAGGGTGACAAATGTGCTCACAGTCCACCTGATGGTAAGTGGTTGCTGCGGCCCATAGACATCTACATCTATCTTCGATTACGAATCAAAATGCAGATGCGTTGTCACCCATGAGGACTCAGATGGAATGCCTCGTTTCCAGTAAAAAGGGTCTCCGGTTCTCTGCACTCACCATACGAAACACAGCAGCGTTAAGCTGCTATTTTACGCTGGTATTCTGTGAGAGCGTGGTCCTTCCCCGGTCGAGCCGACCCATTCGTGCTACAACCATAATATAGCTGCAGCATGACTCTACCACGTATAACTGTTACTTTACTTTACTTTACATCAATGGTATGTGCCAAAATAAAGTGTATATGGGCTGTTACTTTACTTTACATCAATAGTCTGTGTCAAAATACAGTGAATATGGGCTGTTACTTTACTTTACATCAATGGTCTGTGTCAAAATAAAATGTGTCTATCTTTCTTCTATCATTACTTCATCAGCCCCTAAAAGTCTAATGTTAGATATGGGCCCCTCCCGCTGTAGAAAGTATTTGCTTCAATCGTCATGCTTAGCAAGCAGGTTGACTTGAATCCATAAACCTGTGGGTGTTATAACAGATGACTGTGGAAAATGCCAGAAAAATTTTAAGGCTTCCAATAGGTAAAGGTACATCAACTGGTTTTCAGCTAACGCCAAATACTCAGACCAGTAGTGGGTGGATTGTCAATCTGCCGGAAAAGCATTTTATCTTTACAGCTTGTTAAAGTCCACTGCTGAACATGACCGCGCCCATAGATAATGCTTAATAGGGTGGATTTTGCCATAGTTGCCACACTTGGCAGACAGGTTGGCAACCACAGTATTTTTATTGTTTTACTTACACATATTACGCATATTGATCAAGACTGAGTCGCTAGGGACGTGCTAGAGGGAAGTTTATCAACCAAATTAGTGATATTTTTTTTATAGCATAGGGTGACAAACAAGCACACAGTCCACCTGATGGTAAGTGATTGCTGCGTCTCATAGACATCTACATCTATCTTCGATTACGAATCAAAATGCAGGTGCGTTGTCACCCGTGAGGACTAAGATGGAATGCCTCATTTCCAATAGAAAGGGTCTCCGGTTCTCTACACTCACCATACGAAACACAGCAGCGTCAAGCTGCTATTTTACGTTGGTATTCTGTGAGAGCATGGTCCTTCACCGGTCGAGCCGAGCCATTCGTGCTACAACCATAATATAGCTGCAGCATGGCTCTACCACGTATAGAACGAATGGAGACGGGCCAAGTTAAATTATCCTTAACTGATGACCATGTATACTGAGGTATATGGATGTGAAAGACGCGAGAGAGGTGTATCAGGATCGTGGCAAATAGAAGTCCTACTTACTCCACTCCCAACAGACGTGAGAATTCTTTTTTTTATAGAATAAGGGTGAGAAACGAGCACACAGTTCACCTGATGGTAAGTGAATGCTGTGGCTCATAGACATCTACATCAATCCTCGATTACGAATCAAAATGTTGATGCGTTGTCTCCCCTGAGGACTAAGAGGGAATGCCTTGTTTCCAGTAAAAATATATACTCCACGCATTACAACCAAACGGTTTGCTTCGTCTTTTGTAATGCTTACAGCATAGGAGTGGAATAATTTCCGGTGTCTTTCACGGCAAGAGTGAATAGGCTTTTGTTACGATAAGACAGTGCGATTTACCATCTAAGGCTGCATCACCACTTACCACCAGGTGGGATTGTGGTCAAGCACTGGCTTATAATAAGTTAAAAAAAGTCTCCGGTTCTCTACACTCACTCACTACGAAACACAGCAACATTAAGCTGCTATTTTACGCTGGTATTCTGGGAGAGCGTGGTCCTTCCCCGGTCGAGCCAAACCAGTTGTGCTACAACTGTATTAATATAACTGCAGCATGGCTCTACCGCTTATAGTAATTCATTATTGTCTTTACTCATGGCCCATCTAAAGTTAAGTAGAGTTATTATTTCTATCAAGATTTTGCTCATTGTTGAGGATTGTAAGTGAATGAGAAAATTTTGTCAGGGTCCAACAGAGCAGCAGCAGTTGATCCTCATATCACAGCTCTGCGGCTCGTGTACACCGGATGTGTGGCCTGGAGTCGAAAATCTAGACCTTTATAATAAAATGGAATTGCCTAAGGGGCAGAAGAGGAAAGTTAAGGTTGGTAGATTTTAATTTTTTTTCCCCCCTTTCTGCGGTGTTATTTTTAGGTATGTGTACATATGTGTGCATATTATGTGCATTCTTATAGAGGTTCGTTTCTCACCTAAGGGTGCAGCGGTGGATGCTGTGGCCCATAGACATCTACATCAATCCTAAATCTCAATTAATCAATATATAGATGCGTTTCACCCCTGAGACGGCTCCGTGGCGCAGTGGCTTAGCAATAAGTTGTTGTGCTGGGCGCCGCGGGTTCAAATCCCGCACGGAGCAAGTATTTGTATGGCCTACAAATAATTGTTCCGAATCTGGATGATTGTCCTCGTGCAATCTATGTTTGTAAACTGCCTCCACAATACAGGAGAAAATCCTAGTGTGGGGGTAATGTTTTAATATAAAAAGAAAGAGGACTACGATAGAATACCTTGTAATCAGTAACAATGATCTCTAGTTTCGTTTCTATATAACACTTCATCGGATGATAACCGCAACCTATATGGAGGAATTACTCAATTGCAAAGAAATAAGGCCAAAGATGGTACCCAAAAGCTTGATAACACAGATTAAGTGCCTTATATCTAATTATACTTGCTTCCATAAACTTCAAGCAGAAACCATTTGTGGTGCTTAAGTGCAAACAATTTTATCTATTTAACTGCATAATACTATATTTTTTATCCTTTTTAATTCCACTAAGGTGCCCACACATTCTTGTTTAAGTTTTGAGGAATATGTATGCTTTTATTTTATTAACTTGATACATTGTCATATTTAAACCGACTGTATTTTTTATGTATTTTTATGTGTGTAGGTAACCTCAGAACTTTTTTCTAGGTGAATCGATGCCATATAAATTTAATCAAGGTCTGAACAGTAGTTTTTGAGTTATCTATATTTATATATAAATAAAATGATGGAGGTTTGCAGTTGCGCGCGCATCACCGAAAAACTACTGGATCGATTTCAATTAGGTTTTCTAAGTTTTATTTCTTAGATATTTGGCCATTATCTGAAAAAAATATTGTAAAGTTTTAAGAAGCAACGATTTTTATAAGCACTACATGTTCAGTGATGTGTATGACGGTGCGTACACTATATATAACATTGTTATATAACATGTTTTAGTAATGTGGAGGATGAATGTCATTAAACGTGTTATATAACGTGGCACAAATGTTATATAACTCGAACGGCAGAACGACATACGACAATGTGATACGACAATGTCATATAACATTGTTATATTGCATTGTTATTCTAAGAATACAGTATTTTTATATGTTGCAAGGTTGAAAAACAGTGTTACATAATGTGGATGTGTTATAAAACAAAAGTTACATAACATGTTACTTAGTCTGTACGCACCCTAAGCAACGCGGACAAAGTCGCGGGTATCAGCTAGTCCTTAATAAAGAGTATTTAATTGACTTCGACTGTATTGATGATGTTCTCATTTTATTTATATTGAAGTTGGTTGTACAAAATTGTTAATTTTACCACTTGTGTAAGAAATAAGTAAATTGATATTATTTTTTTAAATAATTCAACAATGCCGTTATTTCAGGAAAGGCTAAAGCCCTACGTCAAAGACCCATATGGTTGTGATCTGCTTGACAAACTGCTGCAACTGGATCCAGCAAAAAGGTAATGTTATTGAAATTCTCCTGGTTCCCCTGGTGTTGCAGTTGTTCATGGGCGGCGGTTAGTCACTTACCATCAGGTGAACCGCACGCTCGTTTGCCCCCTCTCCTTTAAAAAAAAAAAACGACCTATGCTAGGTACAACCAGGATCGCTTCGAGCTTCTCATGTTCGGCCGGTTATCGAACCCGGGTCCAAGTGAAGTGAACTGCGAAACTAACTAGGTATAGCAGAAATACTAATTGAAACGAACGTTGAGTTAGCAAAAATAATGAGCATTACAAATAACATTACATCGCCTTAGATACAAAAACATTACGCTCCCACTATACGTGCTATTTAAACGAAGTAGGGATACAAACATTATGGCTGCCTAATGCAAACAAATAATCGTGCGAACGGTGTATAGTCGCTTGTCCTCGTCGCGCGTGGTACGAACTAACGATGCGTTTGCGTGCATCTTGCGGAGGCGGGGTCAAGTGCACCGGTGGGCGGTGCATAGCGGTGAGCAACGTCATAGACGACGTCACTGTGACGTCACGGATCGTACGATGCGGAGCGTCTAGACGTGCAAGTTTACTTGCCTACTCGCTACACTACTCCCCCGCTGAGACCGTTACTACGGGTGATAGTAGTTTGGGAATTTAACAGTGCGCCACGTATTTGTGTCACGGTGCAGGCCTTTATATGGGCCTATTTATGGTGGCAGAAGTGATCTGCGTGCTGGACCTTGACAGACGAAAACATCCAAGGAAGATGACAGGTCTCTCGGTACCAATGCCAAGTGGTAGGTTGTGAGGTGTCAATTTGCTGACATAATATATATATATATTAATTAATATTTAATATTTTTTTAAAAACGTTAACCGCACACTAGGATTTTCATCTGTATCGTGGAAGCAGTTTACAAACACAAATTACACAAGGACAAACATCCAGACCCGGAACAGTTATTTGTAGGCCATACAAATATTTGTTCCGTGCGGAATTCGAAGTCATTGCTAAGCCACTGCGCCACGGAGCCGTCAATGACATGAGCACGGAGTCTGCTTATCATGTTGGTCATATCTACTCTGGCATCAGTGACTGGTGTAAAGAACTGTCCAGGCAAACGGAGGGCTTCACCGTAGACGACTTCTGCGGCGGATGTCTAGATGTACTCCTTCCATGTGCTGCGAATGCCAAGAATACTGTAATTTTTTTATAGAATAAGGATGATAAACAAGCACACTCCACGTGATAGATGATAAGTGGATGCTGTGACCCATAGACATTTAGATATATCTTCAATTTAGAATTAAAATGCAGATGCGTTGTCACCCCTGAGGACTAAGATGGAATGCCTTGTTTCCACTAAAAAGGGTCTCCGGTTCTCTACACTCACCATACGAAACGCAGTGGTATTAGGCTGCTATTTTACGCTGTTGTTCTGTGAGTGTGGTCCTTCTACGGTCGAGCCAACCCATTTGTGCTTCAACTATAATATCGCTGCAGCATCTACCACGTAAAGATATACTAAAAAGGTATTAAATTCTTAAGTCCACTCCATTTCTTTGTAATACATACATAATGAGTACATAAAATAAAGATATAGAAATGGAAAAGCCGAGTCACCTGCTTCAGGAATTATTTGCTTAAGAGGCGACTCGGGCCACTAATGATTGCAAAATCAAATCTTTTTATTTATATAAACTGTAATTATTATTATTTATTTTTACAAAATTATTACATTATAAGTATAAACAATATTATTATTTTGGCTATTATCCAATGTGGCGAGGATTCCTAAGCCATCAGTGAAGTTAGACATCCAAAGATATAACCTTTAAATAAGAACGCTTTTTGAATTAAGCCTTTCATTTTTTTATTAAATTATTTAGAAATTACTTTCATTTCAATTTTCATTTTTCCTTTCCTTTCCTTTAATGTAAGTATGTAAATAAAAAATTATGTACTGTCACTACCGATGTAATATGAGAAATCATAGTGTGAGGGTAGTGTTTTTTTTTAAATATTATTATTAATCCTAAATATCTATCCCCCCTCCCCCCCCAACAGATACGACGCGGACACCGCGCTGAACCACGACTTCTTCTGGACGGACCCGATGCCGTGTGATTTGGCGAACATGCTGGCGCAGCACACGCAGAGCATGTTCGAGTACCTGGCGCCGCCGCGGCGGCCGGGTCACTTGCGCCACCACCACCACGTGGCCGCGCCGGGCAAGCCCGCGCCCGTCGCCGACTCCGGCTACCAGGACAGGGTGTTCTAAACGCCTCCGGGCGCCACCACTGCCTGCACCCAACCAACAGTGACAGTGCTGTGATAGTAATCAACAGTGACAGTGCTTTGTGACAGTAAGCAATGTATTCAGTTGATGACTCAGTAAGTCAGTGCATTGTGAACTATTCTTCAGTTAAACAGGACTTCAAGCAAGCCAGAGGGCCATCACCCCCTGATTGAGGGATTTTGGGGGGGTGGCAATTTGGGTAAGGAAAGTGTAGGATTTTCCCCTGTATCATTTAGATTTGAATTAAAAAAATAAATAAAAAAACTTCATGATTTCTTATATTTACGCGAAGATTACACATTAAATGAAATTAATTTTTACGGATTTTATTGAAGCATCGACGTTCCGGGAAGTCTGCAGTGTGTGAACATGTTCAAAATCGTACCCACCATTACATTAGATTTGATAGACCACAAATCCTCTCAAAAGAACACTGATTCCTACCAAGGATGATTCACGAGGCTATTGAAATTACAAAAAACATCCTAATTTCAATAGAGAAGATGGATAGGTGCTGCCATCTGCTCGGGATCCTATAATTAATAAAATTAAATCCAAACCCAAGCATACCACTGCAAGTCTTCAAGATACTGTAAGCTCTTTCTGCATAGATCGCACCAAAAATTAATATTCAAAAACTGAAGGTAGCCAGGCTAACTATGACATAGGGACGTCAAACACCTCAGTCCCCCCCGTGACCATAGGTGCTGTAAAGCACCCAAAATGTCGGAAATTAAAAAGTTAAATTAAACGCGATAAAATCTGTAAAAATTAGTTTCATTTAAAAAACGTCAGTAAAATTTTCTGTATTGTTTAAGTTAACTTTTTATAACAAAAATAAAACACTTAATTGTATTCCGTATTATGAGGAAACACCTAAAATAAAGAAATCAAATTCAAATTTCAGTGTATTATAGAATTAGTTTGCCATCTGTGATTAACTCAGTCACTAACTAGCCTTCGCTCCTAATTCCTCAATACTCCTGCCAAACATATGGAGATAATATGAGTCCGAGATACAGATGGAGATCAATTTACTAGAGACTAGTGATAATTATCTATTATTTTTACATAGATGCTTAGTATGGGCACAGTGTAACTACTACTCACAGTCGGTTAGTAGTAGTTAGACTGTGCCACTGTTTATATTTTTTTACTTCATTATAACTTCATTGAACACAAAATATGGGTATTACATTTTTCAATAATTTTAAAAAAGGATTATTCATTGCTCTTAATGTTTTAAAGAAATCTATTACATTCATTCAATACAGCGCCTATCAAAAGTCACTACCGAACATAAATTTCCCCATAGAATACATTTGCCATAGTTAAAGTTGATAAAAATTACCTTTAACTATGGCAAATGTATATACCTGGATGTAACCACTTGATAAAATAAAATGATGTGTCTTACCTAGCATGAAGAGCACCTCCCGCCCTTCCTCAATTGCGTGCACTATCCCCGTCACCACTGATCCCAGCACCACTGATCCTAGCACCACTACTCCCAACACCACTAATGTTGGGATTAGTGGTGACGGGGATAGTGCACGCAATTCGTTGGCTACGCCGCATAGGAGCGAACCTCAATTTTTAAAAAAATCACAGGAAAGCAAGTAAACATTTATTATTCCCCGTTATTATTGCGGCGTTAGCGACGAATTGAGGGAGGGCGGGAGGTGGTCTTCAAACTAGGTAAGACACATCATTTTCTACCGACTTCAAAAAGGAGATGGTACTCAATTCTGTATGTTTTTTTAATGTGTGTTACCTCATAACTTTTTTCTGGGTGAACCGATTTCGATGATTCTTTTTTTATCTGAAAGCTGGTGATTCTCATGTGGTCACATATAAATTTGATCAAGGTCTGACCAATAGTTTTTGAGTTATTCTTAATAATTTATATTGAAGTCGGCTGTACAAAATTTTTAATTATAGATAAAAGTAATGTCGTGTTTATTGTATCAAATACCCTAGAATGGTCCAATAGGACGAGCACAGTTCCCTGACCTACATCTTGAGCCTATATATTGCCCACTACATCAGAACCAGGGATTGAATACCGGTACCAATTTCGGTACGGTTCCAGTTCCGGTATCGGTTCCGGTTCGGGTTCCGATGTACCGGTTCTAAATACCGGTTCCAAGAACCTACAATCAAATTTCTCCAAATCCGTAGATTGGTATAAAAAATTCTGTACAATTCCGTAGATGCTATTTCAAAATATTCGTTCCGATGAGGATCGACAATATTTGTTTTTGAACTTAGTTGATAAATTTATTCTGTCATGGATAATTCTTGTTGTAAGTTTAAATGTAGTATAACATTGTATCAAGCTACACATGTAAGAAAAATAAACCATAAAAATTGATTAACATTAAATGTTTTTTTTTAAATTAAATAATATTTAGTAAACAACAAATAAAGTAATTTTAATATTTGCGGATAGTTATACTAAAAAAATACGTTACAAACTTGATTATAATGACTTATCAACATGGATTTTATTTTCTGGTTTTTGTTAGTTTCTTCTTCTTCTTTTAAATTATGGCTTCTCTTGATAGAATTCTGCCAGTGTCAAGTCAGTCAGTCAGTTTTGTTAGTTTATTATTTGATATATTATGGTGTTTCAGACTCGGGTGATTTATGTAACAATGAAAAACTATAACTGTGTAGTGGCGGTTAAGAATATCTGTGGGTGCCGTAAGAGGCGACAGTGGGACACAGTCGGATGGGCAGCAGCATCTTCCTGATAACAGCAATATCACAATAAAAAACTGCGGTTGCCAACCCGCTTGTCAAGCGTGGCAACTATGGCAATATACACCCCAAAATAAATAAATGGATAAAGTTACTAAGAGACGGTCCCCAGTCGCCGTCGGCCCCGCTATTCCTGGCTACGGTGGCGACCATGGTAACGGCGGGGCAGAGGTGCTAAGAATCTCCGGTGGAGGTTCGGTTGCCACCTACGACGACTCGACCTGGCAACTTATAACGCACGCAGCCTGAGGACTGACGAAAAGATCCTGAAGCTAGAAGAAAAGATAGAGAAGTTGCGCTGGAATATTATAGGACTATCCGAGGTCCGAAGAGAGGGGGAGGACACGGTAATCCTCGAATCCGGCAACTTGTTCTATCACTGGGAGGGCGACCATCTGCCCCAAGGAGGTGTCGGATTTATCGTCCACAAGTTTCTCGTTAACAACGCTGTAAAGATTGGCAGCGTGTCGACGAGGGTCGCGTACCTTATACTCAGAATCACCAAACGGTATTCGCTGAAGGTCATACAGGTTTACGCACCAACTTCGACACACCCCGATGAGGAGGTGGAGGAAATGTATGAGGATATCTCTAAGAGTTATGCATTCCTCCAAAACCCACTATACGGTGTTAATGGGAGACTTCAACGCAAAACTAGGCACAAGAGAGAACGGTGAGCTGAAAGTAGGGAAATTTGGAATAGGGCAACGGAACCAAAGGGAACGGGAACGGGACCAGCAGCTGGCAGAGTTCATGGAAAAAGAGGGACTCTTTATGACACTTTCTGTGGGGCCGCTTCTGGAAGAAGCGGCCCCACAGAAAGTGGACCTAGTCGAGACTTCATTTTGACGACCAGACGACAACTGTACAGTGATGTCTCAGTGATCGCGAAGGTGAAAAACGGCAGCAATCACCGAATGGTGACAGGCACACTGAACCTAAACTTTAAGTTGGAGAGGACACGTCTAATGAAGTCAACGCTCCGTCTCCCTCGTGCTCTACTCCAAAATCCCGAAACCTTTCAGCTCGAGGTACAAAACCGTTTTCAGTGCCTAGAAGATTGCAATGCAGTGGACGATATGAATGACAAGCTCGTGAAAACTGTCCATGCGGTCGGAGCCAAGTTTAGCAAGGCCCGCCGCAGAAGAACACAAAAACTTTCCGATCATACTCTTAATCTCATGGCTGTGAGGCGGGATATGAAGCTGCAGTCTTCAGCAGATTTGACAGCATACAGGCAACTGAACAGACAGATCTCCAAATGCATGCGGCGGGACTTACGCAACTTTAATACTGCTCTTATTGAAGAAGCGATCGAGCGGAACCAGGGCTCCAAAGTCTTTGTTAGAGATCTGTCTGCCGGAAAGAGCCAACTGTAGAAGCTGAAGACCGAGTGTGGCAGCGTCGTTTCCGGGACACCTGAGATTTTGAGTGAGATTGAGAGGTTCTATGGGCAGCTGTACACGTCATCGTTGGAGCCACACGCAAATGTGAGTAACGATCCAAGAGCGAGTCTTATCCGACACTATTTCGAAGATGTCCCGGACGTCAGTCTGAGCGAGATTAGAATGGCTCTCCAGCACCTTGAAAACGGCAAGGCCCCAGGCGAGGATGGAATTACAGCGGAGCTTCTGAAAGCGGGTGGAAAACCGGTACTTGAAGTCCTTCAGAAGCTCTTTAATTCTGTCCTCCATGGTGGTATTACACCGGAGGCGTGGAGCAGAAGTGCGGTGGTCTTGTTCTTCAAGAAAGGTGACAACGCTCTCTTGAAGAAGTACAGGCCGATTTCCCTTCTCTGTTACACAATTATAACTTATATTAATGTAACGACATATCTATTAATTGTTCGAAATCAAGAGCTGTTTCGTATCGATTAATTATAAACAATAAGGAAAATATTAAAATATTATATAGTGTATAAAATAACATGCGTATTAATCATTACTTATGTTACATAATGTAACAACATAATAACTATTAATTGTTCGAAATCAAGAGCTGTTTCGTGTCGATTAATTTTAAACAATATGGAAAAAACTAAAATATTATATAGTGTATAAAATAACATGCGTATTAATTATTACTTATGTTACATAATGTAACAACATAATATCTATTCATTGTTCGCAGTCAAGAGCTGTTTCGTATCGATTAATTTTAAACAATATATATATATATATAATTAACCTATATAAATTTATAATAACTTAATTATTTTAAATAAAAGACTTAAATTTAATTATTTAATAATTGCAAAATACTTAATAAATTAATTGATGTATAAAATTTCGAAATATTGTTGGTCTATTTATTTAAATGCACACGACTAACAGCCCTTTCATGGATACTCTGACTGAGCCGGCGCAAACCGGTTTGTACCCCGACAGAGCGTCGGTGAACCTGTCGGTGAGAGCTCACGCACACATCGCGCGCTATGTATGCGTGTATTCGCAGCGAGCCGTTTGTATGTAGCTTCCCCTCTGGTCGGTTTCTTTACTCATGTGGTTATAGTAGCCAAACTTTGTGGGAGAGTCGAGTCATCAAGAACATATTGTTACGAGCTTGGGGTTCGAGACAATTAAAAACTGCCGATTGAATTACCAAAATTGACACTTTAATTACACAACACTAATTACAATCTAAAACCACACTAATAATAAAACACAATCACTTTAGTTCGCAGTTATTTCGCTTCGAAGTGTTCTCTTGTATCGCCAATTCAATACTGACTTGGTCGTGGTCGTGGTCTATACCGGCCTTATATAGGGCCTCAGATAGTTTCCAGAACCTTCTACTGTAGCGACATCTAGAATGTTCGAGTACATATCGGTCCCGAAAATTCTGGAAGGATCTTGACTCCTAGTTCTGCTACTCGACACTAGAGGGCGCTAGTGTAACTAGTGTTGCCATGTACAAGACATTAATAGTGGCGCGCAACACTGCCCCCTCCTAAGACATGCTCGTCCCGAGCATTATTGGCCCCATAATGACGCGCCAGTCGATCCCCATGGACGACCTTAGGAGTACCTCTGGCACCTTTCTGTATCTGGTAGGTTACGTCATTGATCCTTGTCACAATCCGGTACGGTTCGTCCCATTTAGCTTGAAGCTTAGGAGATTTCCCTTTGCTGCGAACTGGATTGTGTAACCACACTAGTGAACCTTCATCAAACCCCTTGTTGTTCATTTTGCGGTCATACCGTGTTTTCATCTTCTCAGACGTTTGCTGGTCCGTCTGTCTGAAGTGCTCATAAATGTCATTCATTTTGTTCCGCAAGTCATTTGCATAATCGATTATACTGCGTGGGGTATCAGGTGGTATTCCGGTGATCAGGTCTGCAGGCAGCCGTAATTCTCTCTCAAAGTTTGCGAAAGCTGGTGTCACTGATGTACATTCGTGAACACCGCTTCGATATGACACCAAAAACGGTTGTATGTGCCTGTCCCAGTCTCGTTGCCGTTTTTCCACAACTTTTGCTAGGTACCTCTCCAATGTCTGATTAAATCGTTCTACCATTCCATCAGATTGTGGGTGGTAAGAAGTTGTTCGTGTTTTATGAGCACCCATAACTCGGCAAGTTTCCTGGAATATTTGAAGCTCAAAATTCCTTCCTTGCTCGCTGTGAATCTCTAAAGGTACTCCAAAACGACAGAAAACTTCATGAACTAGTTTATCTGCAACTGTTGAAGCTTCTTGATTTGGAATGGCGAAGACTTCTGGCCACTTAGTGAAGTAATCCATCACAACCATGAAATACTTGTTACCACTTTCACTTTCCGGAAACGGCCTCGCAACGTCAATGGCTATCCTCTCCCATGGTGCACCAACATTGTACAATTTCAATGCGCCTCTACTACGAATTTGAGGTCCCTTTACAGCCGCACAACTTGTACATTTGCGGCACCAGTCCTCGACATCGTCACGACAGTGGACCCAGTAAAACCTTTCTCGGATCTTCAGTAGACTTCGTTTAACTCCCAGGTGGCCTCCTGAACAACCACTATAGTACAGCTGTAGAACATCCGGTACTTTAGCCTTAGGGACAACCATTTGCAAATGACACCTCTCTCCCCGATCATTTTCCCATTTACGGCACAGGACTCCATCCTGAATCAGCAAGCTGTCCCATTGGGCCCAATAGCTTTTCGTGGTCGAACTCATTGCTGAGACGTCGCTCCACTTGGGCTTAGGAGCCTTCATCCATTCCAGAATCGGCTCAATGTCCGAATCTTCCTGCTGTGCATGTTGTAGGCTGTCCTTCCACTCAATGCTGAGCTGGTCTGTCCGGAGTATCCTCACAGATAGCACTTCGTTACCCGCTTGCCTAGTACAATGCTTGCAATCTTTAGGGCAAGGTCTTCTTGACAACGCATCTGCATTGCCATGAGATTTCCCGCTGCGATGTTCGATAACAAAGTCGTATTCCTGCAGTAGTTCAATCCATCTCGCAACTCTCCTTCCGGATTTTTGAACTGCAATAGCCATTTTAGTGCAGCATGGTCAGTTCGTAAGTGGAATTTCCGCCCCAGAAGATATTTGCTAAAATGCTGCAAGGACTTTACCACAGCAAGCAATTCCCGTCTTGTGACACAATAGTTCCTTTCCGGCTTTGACAACGACTTGCTGAAGTACGCTATCACAATATCTTGATCACCATTCCGTTGAGACAACACACCGCCAAGTCCTATATCACTTGCGTCTGTGTCAACTATAAATTCCTTGCCCGCATCAGGGTACCCCAAGATAGGTGTTTTGCACAGACGGTTCTTGAGCTCCTGGAATGCCATATTGAAACTTTCATCCCAACAGAAATGTCGCTTCTCCTCGGTTAGCCTGTGCAGGGTTTTGGCTATATCAGCAAAGTTCTTCACAAATCGCTGATAATAAGAGCACAAACCCAAAAATGCTCTAACCTGTGTCTTTTCTTTTGGAACCGGCCAATCCTTGACAGCGGCAATTTTCTCTGGATCCGTGCGGATACCTTCTTCCGACACTACATACCCCAAAAAGCTAACTTGTCGTTTGAATAGTGAGCACTTCTTCGGACTCAACTTGAGGTTGGCACTCTGGATTTTTATGAGCACGAGTTCCAGGTTTTGAAGGTGTTCCTCAAACCTACGGCCTACGATGATGATGTCATCCAAGTAGACCAGACAGGCATCTCCAATTAGCCCGGTAAGTACAAGCTCCATCAACCTTTCAAACGTTGCTGGAGCATTGCACAATCCAAACGGCATGACTTGAATTGCTACAGACCCTTTCCTGTGGAGAATGCAGTTTTCTCCTTGTCCTTAGGGTCTATTTCAACCTGCCAGTAGCCACTTTTCAGATCCAGCGTACTAAACCACTTTACGCCTGTAAGCATGTCCAGCGTGTCATCAATTCTTGGCAAGGGATAGCTGTCCTTCTTCGTAACGTCGTTCAGGCGGCGGTAGTCAACACAAAACCGCATGCTGCCGTCCTTCTTCTTTATCAGCACCACAGGTGAACACCATGGACTAGATGAAGGTTCAATAACACCATCCTTCACCATTTCCTCAATCATGGTTTCCACTACCTTTTCACGTGCTACAGGCAATCTCCTTGGCCGCTGACGAATAGGCAATTCTTCTCCTGTGTTTATTTTGTGTTGAACTAAGCCAGTCTTTCCTATGTCAGCTTCGTTTGACGAGAAAACATTGGCGTACTGGAGTAACAACTTCTTTGCCTTGACCATTTCATTCGGGGAGAGAACGCTGCGACAGTCTTCCAAGAGTTTGGTCACTCTCGTTTGTCCATCCTTGCTGGGGGTCCCAGTCGATAGATATTGGCACCGACGCAACCAATCCACTTCCTCACTAGTACCAACCAATGTGCCTTTTTCTATAATCTGTTCCTGATCACAAAGGTTCAGCACACGTACTCCTGAGATGTCGGCGGTTCTGACCAAGGTTCGAGCCACTTTCCATGGAAGGTCATTGTCTACCCTTTCCACGAGTACACAACGAAGAGTTTGCCCAGGATTCCGAGGAAGTCTAACCGGCACAATCGTTTCCGATCTCGGCGGAAGAACAATCTTCTTAAGGCTGTACACATTCCCTGGTAACGCCCCTTCCACGAAAAGTTCCACTTGTCCACATTTCAAAACACCTTGCTTAACGTCGATCTCACAACAACTCTTCCTCATAAAGTCTAGGCCCAGGATGCAGTCGTCCATTATATCAGCCACGAAGACATTATGCAGGTAGATCATGTTGCCTAGCTTCAACTCCATCTCCTTCTCTCCACGGACGGGTATGCGCTGACCGGTGGCTGTCACCAAATTAATGCGTTCTAGGTTGTATGCGGAGTCCCCAAGGAACCGACTTATAAGTTGGGAACTGACAACCGTGCGAGAGGCTCCAGTGTCTATGGTCAGTTTACACGGCGTTCCGTTGACTTCGCCCTTGATGATTAGGCTGTTCCCATCATGGGTTTGTGAGATCGAAATCCTTGCGACTCTTTTAACATCAGCCAGCACCCGCCCCGCAGTCCTAGCTTTTACTCGTTTCCTTGCTGCTGCTGGGCGGTGCTATTAGCCGCACTGCCATTAGGGCTTCCATTCCGTAATTACGTAATTACGCAGTTACGTAATTACGCAAAAAAATTAAACTTCTGACAAGTCCGTAACTGAAGGGTTGAAATCCGTAATTACGTAAGTATAAGTGCTTATTATCATCATCATCATGTCAGCCTATTTCTACCCACTACTGCTAGGTGAAGGGTTTTAATAATAAATAAAAATAATAATATATAAATCAATTTAGCGACTTATTACATACAACATCCTCTTTTTTAAACAGTATGACATGATAACCCAGGAGCCAACATTGAAACAGAACGAGCGGGTATTTCCACGTAGAGAATAAATTCAATCCGGAATATAATCTGTAGCTCTCGGTAATTCCCCGCGCTATATTTCAGTCTTGGATAACGTAGGACAATAATTCTCTTTGACACGTAAGTAATAGAGTTTAATTTTGGTAAACAATAGTTCACAGGGAATCCCCGCGTCTTTCTATGTGTGAGATTAGCTCTGATTTATTTTTAATGTATGAAAGAAAGTCTCAGTACTCATTTGTCTGTCATCTGGTTCAATTGACCTAGTCGATAGTTTTTTTTGTTAAGTGACTGATGTGTAATTTTGAACACTGCTTCGCTGGAGAGATTTCATTTAGTGTATGAACGTATGGAACCACAACAAATATGTAAGTACTGGAATAAAATCTGTTATTTTATTTATTTTTCAAACGGTGAGACTGAGTATAAATTGTGATATGATTGTTTTATTATTGAATCTAACTAATGTGACGTTTGCGTGCGAGTTGCGAGGTTTTAAGTCGCACGTTTGTATGTTAGTTTTGTCCGCGCGTATCTCAAAAAATATCATTTCGTTCGACGATAATTAAATATATAGGCTAGCACCGACCTAAAAAAAATAGTTGGCATCTTTATTATCTCCCTTTCACTTATCCATTAATAAATTAAAGTTTTGAAGGCGGCTTATTTTATAAAAATATTTTTATTTTTGTTTGTTTGTCCTTTTCCACGTCAAAGCTGAGCATGATTTTTTGTATAGATATAGTTGGGGGACTAGAGAGTGCTATATCAAATATTACCTACATACTTACTTACTATTTAGTTGTTAATTTAATTGTTTTACCTAATTGTTTTAGGTCGTCAACAAAGAAGACAGTTTTCAAGGAGTTCTTAAACAAACGGACAACATCTTCAATCTGGGAACATTTTCTAAGGGCCGATAATGGACAAACCGTCGAGTGTAAACACTTTAAAAAATTTTTAAAAACGCCTGGTGTTGCAACTGGAGCATTACATACTCACTTGCGGGCCAAACATATCACTGAAGTGCCACAAGCGAGTACTTCAACATCAGAGTCCGATAGTGCTCAAAGTCAAGAAAAAAGGAAGGGCGTCCCGGCTCCACATGAAGCACCCCAAAAGAAAACTAAACTCACGGATTATTATGTAAGCGACTCTTCCATGGAGTTAAGAGTGACTAGAATAGCAGCATCGGATGGTATCCCGTTGAGCAAATTTTGTACTTCTGAAGACCTAAGGCATGTTTTAAAAAAATCCGGCTATGATCTATCGAAATCGCCAACAACTATAACCAGGATAGTTTTAGAGCTACATGATAATACAAAAAACGCACTGATACGTCTTTTAAAGGAAATGAAGTCCCAAAACAAAAGATTTACAATGACATTTGATGAGTGGACCTCTACCCGAAATAAAAGATATATGAATATAAATATCCACAGTAAAGATCTCGAACCAGCTAATTACAAAAATTTGGGTCTGGTGAGAATAAAAGGTTCAATGCCAGCAGATGTAGGAACTCAGCTAATACAACAACATTTGAGCAAATTCGGACTTAGCCTCGAAGACATAGTTGCTTTCACAACAGACTGAACCAGCGTAATGGTTAAAATGGGCAAAAATTCTGACGGCCACCATCAATTGTGTTTCGTCCACGGCATACAACTTGCGGTTCTCGATGTGCTATATAAGTCAAAGAACCAGTCAACGCCCAATCCCAACCCAGAGCAACAAGATAAAGAACTGGATTACGACTCTGAAGATTCTGAAGAAAACTATGGAGGATTTGATATCGAAGTACCAAGAATTCCAGAATCTGAATTTCTGTACAAAGATACTATAAAAATAGTACGAGATTTGGTTAAATCTTTTAAAAAGTCACCCTTGAAAAATGACTTGTTGCATAAATACTCTGTAGAAGAATGTGGAAAGGGCCTGGATCTTATGCTCGACTGCAAGACTAGGTGGAACAGCTTGTCGGATATGATTGGCCGATTTTTAAAATTAAAATCAAGTGTCATGAAGGCATTACTGGATTTGAAATCAAATATAAATTTTACAGAAAAAGAAATCCAAGACCTGCACGATATTCATCAAAGTTTAGATGTTATAAAAACAACTGTGATGTCATTGTGTCGCCAGGATTCAAACTTATTGACGGCAGATGCTGCTCTTCAGTTTATGTTAAATAAACTTGATCATCAGCACAACGAACTCAGTGAAAGGCTTGCTATTTCCCTTAGAAAAAGAATAAAAGAGAGACGAACGAGTGTATCTGGTATTTTACAGTATTTGCATGACAATGAACAATTTTTCGAAACCATATCAACAGAAACCTTCACAAAACCGATGTCAGATTATATAAGGACATATATTACAAGATTATTAGAAAGGCTGAAATTAACAGCTAAAACAACGTCTGCACAGAAAAGTCAAAGTCCAATACAACAAATAAGCACAGGACATATTGACTCCAGTGACGAAGAGTTGTTAACTGTAGCCCAGGAATTAGAAAAAGAGATATGTAAAGCCACGTCACAGGTAAACAAATCTACGGTTAACACAGATCTTGAGTCCATTGTTAGAGTGGAAATGTGCATCTATGATAGTGCTGGCGGTGGTCGTGGAGTTTACCTAACAGCAGCGTATAATTATTTACTATCAATTACACCAACAAGTGTTGAAGCTGAACGTGCTTTTTCTTCAGCTGGTTATCTATGTAGTAAATTAAGAAGTTCATTAAGCGATAAAACACTAAACGCGTTGTCGTTTATGAGATCTCATTTTCAGGAAAAGTCAAATAAGTAAAATAAAAAAGCATTCTGTTAAGGAAAAAGATCTCTTTATTTTGTTATAAATCTATCTAATCTAATTTATCTAATATCTTAGTGTTGTGATTTGAGATTAAGTTATATGATTGGTATTCAATAAAAACTTTAGTTTAATCAAAGTTCTTGTACACTTCTTACATTACCCATTGCTACCTATAAAATAAAATATTCGATTTCAAAAATATCTTAGAAATTACGTAATTACGTAGTTACGTAATTGGACCACCAAAATTCGTAATCAGTTACGTAATTAACATATTCGTAATTTTGGAAGCCCTAACTGCCATCTCGAGATCGATCACCTTCCCTTTCTACAGTTCGCTTAGGGCAGCTGGAACAAAGATGGCCCCTTTCCCCACAGCCGTAGTACCTAGGGCTGTAGCCGTTATTCCCGAACTGTAGCTGCTGCAACCTCCCTGACGCGGTGGGAACGATGATCCTGCCGCACGGCTTCCATCTCCAGTGCATGGGTCAAGGCGTCCTTAAGCGTCTCGTGGTGCCCG